GGGTTCAGCTTCTCCCCGCACCTCCACCTCCACCCCGAAGACGCTGCCAGCAAGCCGGAGGCGGAAGCCGAACAGGGCTGAAAGCAAGGCCCCTGGGGGACCCGCGGAACCTCTGCGCAGGCCCACAGGAGCCAGTCGTGTAAGTTTCAGATGTGCGTCGATGTCCATCATCTTCAAGGGCCAGAGCGCAACTTGTACAAATATAAAATGAAATTTCAAAACCTCTAGCCAGTGTGGGACCAACCCCGTATTAAAGGCCCAGTTCCAAGTAAGATCCCACCCGCGTGGCGGCGCGGGAGGGGGCTGCAAGCCGGCTAGGGGAGACAGTCAGTGAAACCCCATCTCTGTCGACGCGTGCAGGGGCGCGTGTTGTTTCCAGAAGTGGAGGCGGCAGGTAGGAGCAACACAGGGCCTGCGCAGTTCAAGGCCCAAGTTCAAACTAGTGAACAGACACACACAGGGGCCACAAGGGACGAAGCCATGGCCTCGGCCTGTATCCGGCCTGGCCGCCTTCCCAGGAGGCGGAGGAGAGAGGAAGCGGCGCGGGACAAGCTTCGTTTGAGTCTGCTGGACGAGGGCCACTGGCCTTGGTATTGGTTGTCAAAATAATGCAAAGTAGGAAACCCCTCTCAGCCAGAAGGAACAGATACCCAGCAAGCCTTTCGGCTGCGGCAGAAACTCCGAGCCCAGCCCTCGGGCGGGCGGCCGCAGCCTCACCAGGTGGTCACCAGGCTCCTTCACCCAGGGCAAAGTCCCAGCCCTGCCCCCGCCCCAGCGCCCCACTCCGCAGGGGGCCAGGTCTGACACAAGCCCCAAACCCCCACTCTGTCCCAGCAAGCGCTGGCTGGTGGGTTCTCAGTGATGGAGTGGAGCAAAGGCCTGGCCTGGCCTGGACGGCAGGCAGAGCTCGCTCTCCCACTCAGGGCCGGGCCTCCGGGCTGCCCCCACCTGCCCCTCCCACCTGCCCGAGCCGCTGCAGAACTCCCAGGCCGCTACCTCCTCCCCCGGCCTGGGCGGCCCTTCCCTCCTCAGCCTGGCCCTCCCTTCTCCTCCCTCCCCAGCAGCTGGGCGCCACCTTCACAGCAAAAAAACAACAGCAGCAAGCCAGGCTCACGCCTGTCATCCTAGCTACTCAGGAGGCTGAGATGTGAGAATCGCGGTTCAAAGCCAGCCAATGCCAGCCCGGGCAGAAAAGTCTATGAGACTCTTACCTCCAATAAACCACTAGAAAACGGGAAGTGGCGCTGTGGCTCAAGCGGTAGAGCGCTCGCCTTGATCCAAAGAGTGCAGGGTCAGCGCCCAGGCCCGGAGTTCAAGCCCCATGACCAACCAAAAAAAAAGCCCAAGTAGAGACAGCTGGAGCGGTAGAGCGCCAGCCTCAAGTGAAAAAGCCAAGTGAGAGCTTGAGACTGAGCTCAAGGCCCAGGACCAGCACAAAACAAAAACCTAGCCTCGCCGTCCAAACTACACCTATTCTAAGTTCCCCAAGAAAACACTTCAGCAATGTCTGGGCCTCTATGTCCCCCCCAAAACCATCAAATCTAAGACTTTCTGCAAGCTAGGTAAGCCTTCTACACTGAAGTACATCACAGCCTTCAAAATACACTTTTTAAATCTCAGGGTTTCATGAACTCAGATTCTAGGGCTTTCTTCCTTACTCATAATTCAGATTGGGGGGCCGGGGGCCTGGACACACTGCATCCTTCCAAGGTGGGGACGCAGCCTGTCACCGAGGGGAAGCATGCGGCCCCGAGTCTGGGTGGAGCCCCAGGCCCTCGGCCCAGATCAGTGCCCACGCCAGCAAGAGAGAAAGGCAGCTTCGGGGGAAAATGACGCGGTCACCCAGGTGATGCTGCAGTATGACCACTGTGAGCCCACGCATCGTCTGGGCCACGCGTGTGTGTGCCATGCAGCCGAAACCACGAGTGCTCTCGCCACCCGATTGCATGGGGCATAGTGTAAAATACATGCTTTACCTGTCCATTTCACTTATTTATTAATGTTGTCGGTCGTGGGCCTTGAACTCTGGGCCTGGGCGCTGTCCCTCAGCTCTTCAGCTCAAGGCGAGCGCTCTACCGCTTGAGCCACAGCGCCACTTCCGGTTTTCTGGTGGTTTACAGGAGATGAGAGTCTCACGGACTTCCTGCCCGGGCTGGCTTTGAACCGCGATCCTCAGGTCTCCGCCTCCGAGTAGCTAGGATGACAGGCGCGAGCCCCCAGCGCCCGGCCCCGTTTGAAGTTTTCCTTTAAAGATTTCTGCGAGAGAAGCGCAGGCGCGGCAGCCGCGATGTCCTGAGTTCAAACCCAGCACCGCCCAGAGAAACAAGGTGCTTAAACGCCCGGCCGAGACGACGGTGTGCGGAGCCGGGGAGGCCGGGTGCGGGTGGCGCCCCGGTCACCCGGCTGCTCGGGAAGACCTCGGTTCAAACCAGCCCGGGCGGGAAACGCCGACGACGCCCCCAACGGCGGGTCCTCGCTGCGAAATGCGCCCCGTCCCGGGCCGGGCCTCGGGAGGCC